CACCATGGGACTTGTACCACAGTACGCCCACCATTACCACTGTGCACAATGAACTGTAACACAATCACCATGACTACCCCCCAGTGACTGTGATCACCAAGGCCACTGTGCACACTGTACCACCACCCAGTGACTGTGACCACAACAGCCACCATGCACTACCACCACCCAGCGACTGTGACCACCACACCCATTGTGCATGCTGTACCACGCCCCGGCGACTGTGACCACCATGGCCACTGTGCACTCTGTACCACCCCCCAATGACTGTGACCACTGTGCAGACTATATCACCACCCAGTCAACCGTGACCACCGCGCATACCATATCACCACACAGCACATGACTGCCTCTGCTTTGTCACCACAAGGTGTACTGCAACACAACCACCATGCACACTGCATGATCACTGGGACCAGCATATGGCAGGTGCTGCGAAAGTACTGTTGGAAGGGAAATCTGGACAAAGGAAGGTGCACAGCTTCCACACCTCCTTCACAACCCACTCCCTCCTCATGAGTGCTTTTCCTCCAGGGCTTTGCCTCTCCTCCATGGGAAACACAGGCAGCCATATGCAAGACGAAAGGCAAAGAAGCAGCCTCAACAAAAACACATCATCCCCAAGCTCATAAAAGAGTAAGTCTCCAGTACACTGTTGATGTCACTCAAGGATGCCAGGGAAAGAAAGGAAGAAAACAGAACAGAAAGCAATGGGGAGCATCCATTCACAAGACCTACACACAGCAGACCACCAGACAGAAAGAATCCAGGCACCGTCATCACTGCTGTTCTGAGAGGAAGGTGTGAGGGATGCACAGGTGAAGAAAACATCCGCTGCGGTACTCCACAGAAAAGTGTTTAAATGGTACTTGACAGTAAGCTGGACCATATGAGACTTCAAGATTGCCTACCTTTCTCCTGTGGAGTAACTGGTGGATTTGAACCACATGCTATTGCATTGGCAGCACAGTGTCTTACCACTGGCCCACCGGGGCTTCCTATGGTCTCTTTGACACATTATCTTGAGACTTTGAAAAAGAACAGAGACAATCACACAGGCTGATTTAATAAGTACTTAGAACTCCATACTCTCAACACAAGGTTTGGAATCTCTCCCTTGCATTTTGTGGTTTGGTTTAAGAGTTTTGTCTGTGCTTCTGTTGAAGTACACCATTTCCTTATGATTAAACAGAGAAGACCTGGTGTACCTCTAGCTGGACCAGAGACCTTTGATCACACTTCTGGGAGTCATGTGGCCCACATGGTAAACCTGGGCACTCATAGCTGAAAAGATCCTATTTGCAGATAAGTGCTTATCTGTCAAGTAGCCAAATGAACCCAACCATTGTTTAGAACTTTTTTCTTCTTTTTAAAATTTATTATTAATTTCAATGAAAATTTACAGAGACTTTGGATATCCATTCATTCATTGTTGCACTTTTCTCCCCTCCAAACCCTCTCGCCTACTACACTACCCTCTTGGAAAAGTAAAAGAAAAATTCTTTCATTGTTTTACAATCCTTCCCTCAGGTCCACTCCACTATACAGCCTTCACTCTAGACTCCTGCCATGACAAAAAATACCTAATAAAATATCCGTCTTAAAACAGTTTTCTCCCACATCTGCTTCAATGCAGTATACACAATTTATCCAGTTTTTCTGTCTTACCCCAACCCTGATATCAGTCCATTTTACTGCAGTGGTATCATATAGTATTTGTCCTTTTGCGACTGAGATATTTCACTCAGCATAATGTCCTCCAGGCTCACCCATTTTGAATAATATCGCATGAGTCCCTTGTTTTTCAATGCAGCGTAGTATTCCATTGTGTGAATATACCACAGCTTCTCTATCCATTCATTTGTTGATGGGCACCTGGGTTGTTTCCAACCCCATGCTATTGTGAACAAAGCCACGGTAAACATGGGTGTGCACACATCTGCATGGATGTCAGTTATGGTCTCTTTGGGATATATTCCCAGTAGTGGAATTGCTGGGTCAAATGGTATCTCTATTTGCTACTTTTGGAGATACCATACCGCCTTCCACAGTGGTTGTACCATTTTACACTCCCACCAACAGTGAATAAGGGTTCCAGTTTCTCCACAATCTCGCCAGCATTTGTTGTTTGCTGTTCTGTTATATTTTGCTATTCTGACTGGGGTGAGATGGGATCTCATAGTTGTTGCTCTAGAAGTTTATTGTTTTGTTCTGTGGTTTCTTGGGGATTTTCTAAATATAGGGCTATGTCATCAGAGTGGACATACTTTCACTCCTTTAGTTTTTTATTATCTAATCCTCTGCCTATAATTTCAAATACAATTTTGAAAAGCATTGGTGAGAGCACACGCCTGTGCCTTCTCTCTTATCTTGAAAGGGAATCTTCAGTCTGTCACCGTTGCACGTGATGACACTGCTATTGGTGACCAAAGTCTTGACTCCCACCATGGTGACCCCAGGCCTAAAAGAACACAACGCGGCCCAGTCCTGCACCAGCCTCCTGCACACGGGCACTCTCCTGCCCACTGTTGCGGCTATCACGTCAGTACATGTCAGTACACACCTTGTTTCTGCTGACCCCCCAGATACCAAACGCGATCTCATTTACCAGCAATACATCTTTCCTGAAGCTGTGTCCAGAGTAATGAAGCTGAAGTCTGACTGGCCCTGATTGCTTCTAAGGGGCATTCTGGTTGTATTTCTTGCAAATTTCGTTTGTTCTTCTGGCAGTCTATGGTATTGTCAATACTCTTTGTTATCACTACAGTCTGAATGAGTCAATTATTTTTCTTTCTTTGGCATTGTCCAGCTTTGACACATATGATTAAAAAATGAAAAGACCACGACTTGAGTTGGGTGCACCTTGTCATCAAACTGACATTTGCATTTGAAAAGAAAAAGAAAATTTTAAAGAGGTCTTTAGAAAGAGATGAACCCAATACAATTTGCCATTTGCTTGTGTGGCTGCTGTTCCCACAGGTACTGACTATTGCTCCCAGAAGAAGAAAACCATGGCCTTCAGCGTTGGCTCTGTTGACCACGGTGCTGTCTACTGATCTGGCTGTAGAGATTCTTTCTTCACTTTCAGCACGATCCACACTGAGGGCTGCAGTCTAACCTTTATCAGCAACCACATTCCATTGTCTTCTTCTTGCAGTAATGCCCCTTCTCAGAGGGAGGAAATTCTCTGTTCCTATTCGCTCAAACTGTGTTAGATTGTGTCAGATACTTTTTCTGCACTAGCAAAGTTGATCATGTACTTTATTCCTTCATATTTTTTTTTAATCTGGTACATTGCATAATGCATTTTATTATGTTGTACCACTGGTGTATTCCTGGGGTAAATCCCACTGGGCCTCGAGCATAACCCTTCTAACATGCGGGTGGATTTGTGGACGAGGACTGTACAGTGAGGATTCTCATGCCACTCCCCCTTGGAGACCGTATGGTTTCTCAGATGTGGGTTTGTGGGTTTTTTTTGGCTCTAGATCAGGATGATAATGGTTTCACAGACTAAGCTGGGATGTATTTCCTTCTTATCTGTATTTTCCTTGGAAGAGTCTGAGAAGGAATGTTGAAAACTCTGGTTTCCATGTTTTGAAGAGTCAGATTATGAAGCCATCTAGTCCTGCATGTTTCCTTCTTGGTACTGAATGGTCATACTAAAAGTACAGATCTGTGTGTCTGATCAAAGTAGGGGCGTTAGGCCATTACTACTGTCACTATCCCCTCTGCCCTTTCTTTCCCCTCCCAGGACCCTCACTGTACAAATGGTGACTTGCTCAATGGTGCTCAGAGGTCCTTCTGGCCTCTTTCCTTTTTTCCTGTTCCTCAAAGTTGGCAATTCAATTAAGCTCTCCTCTGTCCCACTGTTTGTTTCTTCTGTCTACTCAAAAGTACCATGAAAATCCTCTCGTAAGCTATTAATTTCATTTACATACTGTCCAGCTGTAGATTTCTGTTTGTTTTCTGTCTAGCCCCAATGCTAAAATTAAAACCTTTAAAAACAAAGGAAGAAAAAGAAAAAAAAAGGCTAGGAAAAGCACTAAATTCTCTACAGAGAAGTATGTTATATCTAATGTATCTGGGTATTGTGATAATTCTTTGCCAGAATTAGATCTTCTTTTCCATAATTTACTTTCCACTCACCATGTCACTACTCAAACATCAAAGCTTTTGAAAAAGAAAATTTTCCATTCAATGGAGACAAAACAGCCTTTTCAACAAATGATACTGGGATAACTAGATATCTCTACACAAACAAAGCAGGTGGACCCCTACCTCACACCCCTCACAGTATGTGGGGGTGAAAATAGGGTCACTGTGTACCCAACTCAGTGGCACCTAACAATAAAAACAAAACAAAAATTTAGACCCTGAAAAATTTAGACCTTAGAAAAACTCAAAGAAGTAAATCTTTGTAAATTTGAGTTAACTGGTGGCTTCTTAGTGTTCACAGCCATCAAAACAAAAACAACTATGAGCCAACCCTCCCCAGGTTTCTAAGGCTATAAATTGCCCAAGACGACAATGAATGTTCACTTTTCTTCCTCAGCCACTGGTGGATTCAAACCGCCAGAGGTTCAACTTCTTACAAACCCAACAAGAGTTAAAGAGATTCATGCAACCCAAGGGTCAAAGCCTTTTCAGTGCACTGCAGTTGAGACCCTGGCAAAATTATGCACATCTGAGAAAAACATCTGCACACCAGAGGGGTTCCACAATTATACAAGTGCATGTGTATCACAGTGTGGACCAGACCACTTTACACTATGTATGTTCACATGCACACGTCTGTTGGTGCACATATGTGTACACACCTGTACATTACCTGGGTCATGAATAAAATTGCACCCTGAAACTGAATATATGATCTAAGAGAAGGAAGCTCATGCCATAACCATTTCCTAATACTATCTTCAGTAACTGAATCAAGACCTGCCTTTTATTTGTTACTTCTAAAGACAAATGTGAAACAAGCTGAAAAGTCTCTTGCCAACCTCTCACAGTTAGCTTGCTGTACAGCTGTGAATTCATTTCCTTATCTCGTTGGAAACGTCGAAATTCATCAATTGCTTCCCGTGTAATAGTAACAGCCAGGACAAACCCCTATGAGAAAAGCAAGTAACACGTTTGAGAAAAAGGATTTTTAAAAGGCAAAATGTCATTTAAAATGCAAAAATTAACAATGAAATATCACAAAAGAATACAGAGTAAAACATTTACAACTCTCTGTATACACACAAAAACTTTCTAAAGTCACAAAAAGCACTTTTAAGTCAAGCTAAATAAATATCCTGACTCCCCAGTACCTAACAACAGTGCAAAGAAAACAAAATTAACAATCTTCAATGAAGTCAAGATTTCTATTTAGAACACTGAAATTTTTAAATATCAAATTAGTATTAATATAAAAATTTTATCTTTGAAATTTGCCCTTAAATTTGATAGAATTCTTTCCTTGGCTTCCATTCAATCATTCATATTTTGTTTTGCAATATTAATTGCAGTGTTTGGTGGCACTCTCCAATTAAAACAAACTTGGAAGCAGGAGTGGTATTTACTTCCGTAATAGCTTGCCTCCAGAAACTCTATGAACTTGGAGAACCGATGTAAGTTATACAAGTGTCTTTCATTCATAGGATCGCTATGAGTTGTCTAGAACTTGATGACACTTAGCAAAAACAACAACAGTATTAATTACAGTTGATGAATATCTTTTATCGTGTTACAATAGACCCTCACTGTACCTTGTCTACTAGTCCTTCCCCATCCACACATCCACCACCTGCATCCACTCATAAGGAGAGGCTGAAGCTGGGCTGGGGAGACCACGCTGCCCAGGACAGGTGCAAGTGGGCTTTCTCCACAATCCCACTTCTCTCACCGAGATGCTGGACTACTGCACCTCCTTGAGGGCACCAAGGCTTTCAGCAAAACCTCCCAACAAAAGTTTTATGACAAACTGCAATAGCATCATATTCCAAAATTCCTGTCAATTTATCCTTCAGCCATCTCAACTCTTCAAATTATACTCCAAAATATTTCCCAATTAGCTTAAGCCAAAGTCTGTTTCTTTTACCAGAGGGGCCCAGTAGGTGTAGAGGTATCCTATCTTCAAGGCTGGCAAAAACTGGGAGCAGGACACAACCAGGAAATAGAGGTTCAAGAAAAATTTGAATTGTTCAAATAAAACCTAAAAAGGAAAAGTGAAAATTAACGCCATCTTCCCAGGGAAAAGCTTTTCCCATTTCAATTACATACATAGCATCAGCACAAAGTTTAGCCTCATCTCCATGAGGAAGAAGCCCCTTGATTCACAGGGATTAATTTACTCACTGACACTGGTTTTCCCACATTGGGTCCCACATGGAGCACATCCCAAAGGCGGTCCCTCAGCAGTCCCTCACACACACATATAAGGAAGGAAATACACTGGGGAAAGGATAATTAAAACTATGCTAAAATTGCCACTCTAAAGGTCAGCTTTGCATTTTCTTTTTAAATTTCCCAGTTTTCCACCCACTGTATCCATCTATCAACTGACAAAAGTTTATGCTGAAATGTCTTACTAACTTTACTTTATGAAATGCTAGGAAATAGTAAATACACTGTGACACCCACACTTCTGGGATAGGGGTGATATGAGGAGCTGCCCAGGTAGACTTCACAAAAGGGGCCTCAGGAGCCAATGTGCCAAACAGGATCCAGACACTGGGCCCTTGAGTAGGAGCTGGGACCCAGCACACAATCAAGACGAGCTCACCACCCTCTAAAATGTCTCAGATGGCGAGACTGAATCATCTCAATGACCTATGGACAATCCAGAAAAAGTCACACCACATGCCACAACCACATCAAATAGGAACCCCTACAATGTGCAGATCAATGCCTCTCTCAGTGCCATCACCTCTGAGGCACCAGGAGGCGTGGAGACGGAGAGGCTATGTGGACAGCAGAGAAGGGCGTTCAGTCCCACCTCGTTCGTCTGGAAGCACCGTCTCAGTATAAGGAAGTCATGTTTATCATCCCACAGCTCAAAAGTCACTTACCTTGGCAACACATTTTTAATCATAATCATGTCTGACTGCTGTCTAAAAATGTTTTCAATTATTTCATAAATTAATCTCAGCAGGAGAGAAGGCTCTCTTTTCCCTCACTGATTTCTTTAAAATCTCAGTTAGTATAAATTATATCTATTAGCAATTCAGAAATTGCCATTTGTGCTAAAAATGGAATAGAACTCCTACTGGGCAATTACTAAATGTTTCTAAAATACTACATCTTGGATGAAAAGACTAATTTAACAGACAATCTAAGAAAAAAACCTCATGTGCACAGTAACACAGTTTTATGTAGGATCAACAGGTATCTCAGCACAGCTGATCTTGTGCACAGATTCAGCAGATTGGAGAAGAGCTAGACTTCTACCTTTAAATCACTCTAATCCACACTTGTGCTGCTCATGTAAGGAACTCTGTGACCTTTGGGAAAGTGCACAATGCTGACCCAATCTGTAAGTCTTTAATAATTTAATCTTAAAGAGAAAACAGCAGCTTCATTCAATAAAAAGGCAAACGTTTTATCTAATGGACAGTTGAAGTTTCATTGTCCCGAGCAAAGATCAGTTTTTTAATTAGGAAAGCATTAGTTTTGTATGTTTTAATAAAGAAGCATATTAGACACCATATGTTTGCCAACTCCTGGACAGACGGAAAAAGCAACACCCAATAGTCAGCAGGATTATTTAAAATAAAATAAGAAAGATAAAGCAGTCCTTATTCCCAGTAATCAAGGAAAATTCTTGCAAAACAGAATTAACAGTATCTGGAGAGTTAAGATCTCTTACAGAAAAATGTCATCAGTGCCAGTTTCTTTACCTTTTGAGAAATAAATAAATCTACCCATTAAAATAGGGTTGATGCATAAAAATCATTCAAGTACTCTAAACACAAACTCAGTTTGATATTAGCAACAAAAACAGTGATGAACTATTTAAGCATCTTTATTTAAAAAGTTAGCATAATTAAAGATGAGTGAAAACAAGATGGTCTTGTCTGAAATGTCAATTCAAAGATGTCTCTAAATGCACATACAGAGAGCTCTAGTGGCTCGGGGTGGGGAAGGAGAAATTTGCCAAGGCACAGGTACAACTCTCAAATGCGTCCGCTGCTCCACAGGAGAAAGGTGGACAGTCTCCTCCTGTGTGGTTTACAGACTCTGAGACCCACTAAGGGGCACCGAGGAGTCGCTGCAGACTCAACAGTGTACAACAACAGAAATGTATAGAGTATAGATATTTTCTTCTATTAGTTTTGTGTTTAAAATAGTTTTCCTCTCATAATGTGTTCTCTTGACCAAATTTAAACATTTTATTTTCACTCTTCTCTCAGTCAGAAAATATTTATGGCTTATTTTCTAATAATGCGCTACTTGGCATCATTTCATTATTTCTACAATTATACAAATATGATGTCTTACCAAGAACTAAAGACAATAATCTAATTGTACTTTTGAGTAAACTCTATGGTGCAAGCATTAAAAACACTGTAGTTAGTTTACAATTGTTTGGCATACAGTGGTTCAAAGGAAAAGAATGTAACTGAGATAGGGCACAATTAACAAGGAAAAATGTTTGAACAAGAAGGATTACAGAAAGATCTCAATAAGCTGCTTCAGAACACGAAGGACGTGAATTCATTTCAAGAAACGAGGATTCCTCCTTACCCCAGGAATGAAGGTAAACAGGTTGTATTTCTGGTTTTTTATGGTGTTTCTGGGATGTTTCTCCTCGCATTTCTCTGGACACCCGAGCCAGACGGTGCGAGCCTTCAGCTGCTTCTTTCTCTGGCACACATGGATCAGCCAATCACAGCAACTACATGGGGCAAAGGAGACAGCGCGGACATGACTTCCAGGTCTGGAAAGCTGCGAGCAAACGCCGGAGGAGGTCCAATGCTGACCTGCAGGGCTCCTCTACAATCGGCCAGTAACACAAAGCCAGAGAAGCAGGCCTGTGTGCTGTGCTTGTCCAGGAGCTCCTAGAACCTCAGCAAAGCATCTTCCCTGCTCGATGTGCTCACTGCAAAAGGCAACTCCTGGTACTTGGAGTACAGGGCTCGGAGTGTCAGAAAAAGCACAGCTAAGGGTCCCTGGCAATTCTCAATACACCACACAGTGTTTCAGTGGCAAAAGTCTTCGGATATTAACTAATCCAGCACAGGCTTCCTCATCTGTGAGGTAATCATTTTACCACTCTTGAAATAGAGAACTTTTCCAGCACTGTTAAGCAATATAAGGTACTCTAAGAAGAACCATTCAATCCAGCATTTAGAAATGCTGGGAATGTTTAAAATTTAGAAATGAGGTAATATTTACTGTGATATTCTAGGAATATACTCAATCCGCACATACAACTTCTAGAGCTGCACAGAGACTGCCCCTGAATGATACAAGACAGAAAACACCACTGGAAAGAAGATAAGGCTCTGCCAGCAATAGTGAAGGGCACAATCCCCAAAGGAAAAGAAAATACTTGTAACCAAGCAAGTGCAAAACCATTATGAGGCTGTGAAGGGAGGCAGGTATGGCAGTGAGAGCCAAGTGATGAGAGCAAATAATAAGGCAAACACTGAGATTCAAAAAAGAAGGAACAAGAGGCTAGGGCCCCAGAGAAGCCCCTAGGAAAATTTCTGCATCTCCATGCCAAGCCTTCCAGCACATAAAGAGGCCCCACTATCGGCCACTTCCAGAGTACTGTCTAGCAACATGGAAAACAGCTTACCTGGTGCCAGCTTCAGTGGAAACAAAATCCAGTGGCACCAAGAGGATTACTTCTTAAACTGTTTCAGAATAAGTACTAGACTTTCACAAATGTCTCCATAATGAAAGTGGTGGTGAGTACGGTTGAGTCAGAACCGACTCATAGCAGACCCTCCATTGGGTTTTCAGAGGCAGTAAATTGTATGGGAGAAGACGGTCCATCTTTTTCCCATTGAGCAGCTAGTGGATTCCAACTGTGTACCTTTGGAGAGAGTGAAACCAAGTTTCTCCTTGGAAACTCTGTCTCATATACTTAGGATGTGGCCAGGAGGGACCAATCCTTGGAGAAGGACATCATGCTTGGAAGGGTAGAGGGACTGTGCAAGAGAGGAAGACTCCAGATGAGATGGACTGATACAGTAACTAGGACAATGGGGGTAGGTGTATCAAAATCAGTAAGACTGGCTCAGGACAGGGCAGGCTTCAGAGCTGTTGTACATAGGGTTGGTAAGAGTCACAGGCAGCTTGATGGCACACAAAAATAACCACCTCCTTTCTTTCTGAATTAGTGGTTTCTGGGCCAGAGTTTGTCAACATTTGGGCATGCTGGAATGTTAAAATACTGGATGGCCACTCCTGGAGCACAAGAGTGAGTCTCTCCTGAGTCTCTGTGTCAGCGGGATGGAGGGATGTGGCCTCTGGAGCCTGGAAGAAGTCAGGAATGCTAGGGCATTTGTGGATTTCTTTTTACCCCAAGTGGGTGGCCGCAGAGGAGACCTGCTAGATGAATTAGGGGTCTCTGGCCCAGACTTGGCCAGCATTTGGGCATGGTGGAATGGTAAAATACTGTTTTTCATTGTTTTTGGTCAACCATTCTTCTAGGTCGTATAGCCCTGGTGTGTCCACTTGCCATATAGAGTTAAGTTGTGGTTGTTGTGAAGCTGAACACTGTGACACTGATGTGTCAAATGCATTAATGGTTGGTTATCCATGGTGGACAATGTTGGGTGGAGCTCCCCAATTACAAAAAGCTTGGAAGCAGGAGTGGCATCCACTTCTGTAAATAGCTTGCCTCCGGTAACCCTATGAACCTGGAGTAAGGATGAAAGTCACGCAAATGTCAAGGAGTTTCGTTCACAGCGTCGCTATGAGTCACCTACAACTCGACAGCACTTAACAACAACGACCACCTTTGGATTGGGAGTGTGATTCCTTACAACTAAGCCACAAGAGCTCCCTTAATTAAAATAAAGTATTATATACTAAGATTCACTCTTCTAAAATTTTTATAAGGCACAGTTAACAAACAATAGATGGAGAAAAGATTGAAATTGTCAATGATCTCATTTTACTTGGATTCACAATTAACATCCTTGGTATTAACAGTAAAAAAAAAAAATCAAAACACAGGTTGTACTTGGAAAATGTGCTGTCAGGGATCTCTCCAAAGAGTTAACGAGCAACTATATCAGCTTAAAGACTAAGGTGAACCTAATTCAAGCATTGGTCTTCTAAGTTATTTGCTATGCATCTGAAATTTGGAAAAATGAGTAAGGATGAAGAAGAATTATTGAGGTCTTTGAGCTGTAGTACTGGAGAAGTGTAAGGACTGTCAAAAGAACAAACAAGTCGGTCTTGGAGAAACAAGGTGGGCCCAGAGTACCAAAATACTTTGGGCATATTGTCAGGAAGGGCAAATCCTCAGAAAAGGATATCATGCTGGAAAGGTGGAGGGTCAGAGAAGTGAGAAAGAGCATCAGTGAGATGGACTGACACAGTGACTGTAACAATGGACTTGAAAACATTAGAGACAGTGAGGACGGTGCAGGATAGAGCAAGGTCAAGGTCTGTTATATGCCAGCTTGATGACACCTAACAACAATAGCTCCCAGATGATATTAAAAACTCTCAACGTTTAACACACAACCTAAGTAGAATGGGGCAAAAGGCATAACGAGTTATTCCACAAAAAGAATATACAAATAGTATTCATGATGTTCAAGCTCAGTAGACATTAGGCAAATGTAAATTAAGACAATGGTAGTTTAATTCCTTTAGCTTCTTCTTGAGAGAAAAATATTAATTTCTTATTGTGTGATTTAGAGCCTCTGAAAACCCACTGGAGGGTCAGCTATGATTTGGTTCTGATTCTAAAACAATGAGTTGAGATGAGTTTGATTAGAACAGCACAAAAAACTCCAAAACAAATCAAAACAAAAACAAACAAAAAAACCCCAAGCCAGTAACAGCAGTCAGGGGAGGAAGGACAGAGGAAATACTAGGGATCTTTTACACACTGCTGGTGTGATGGTGTTGTGTACTGAGGGTGTGTGGTGAACATAAAATGCCACAACCACTCAGGGGAATAATCTAGCAATTTCTATGAACATTGTACAAGTCATTTTCCTCCTGACCATGGACTCCAGAGAAATGAAACCTTCCCTCAGCACACTGCAATTGAGTGGGTGCTGGCTCACAGCAGCCCTACAGGTCAGAGGGGAATTGCCCCCCAGGGCTTTTAAGTCTGTAAATCAGGAAGTCAATCACCTCTTCTGTGGGAAAGCAGTGTTCATGAATGTTCTAGATTAAAGGAGAGACACAATCATGTCTCCGAGACACATCCACTACTGGAAGAAGAAACTACTAGAGAGGGCAAGAGATAGGATCCATCTACTCCAAAGGCGACCTAGCGGACTGAGCGATGCAAATGAATCAAATGGGACAGCTGTCCCAGGCCTACAGATGAAAACAGATGTTCAAGTGTGAAGCAGTCAAAGAGGTACAAAGTGAAAAACTGGAAGAGAATGAGGACGCAAATGTGGAAAACAGTGAGAACTTAGTGTATGTCAAGGGCACAGGAGCACTATTTCAGGGCACAGGGTACTACAACTTTTCTAGAGTTTGCAATCATTTCAAAACAAAAGTTTAAAAGTAGAAGAAAATAACATAACACCAAATGTTTAACTCTATAAAAAGAATAAAATGGATAGTCTCCTAGCAAGATTACTTTTTAAAAACAGAGCACTACTAGGAATGGAAAAGGAGTCACCACAGTTCCTCAGAAACTACAAAGGTCAAAGGAAGAGCTCCTGAATAACTTGATGTCAATATACATCTGACAATAGCTCCTTCAAAAGGCATACACATCAGGGAGACACATGGAAAATGATCTGTACATGTCCATTTTTAAAAATGACTATATGATTAAGCATATCCCTCAAAAGAATGCCCCAGGGACACTACAATATAAGCTATTAAACCTAAAAAAATGTTTCTTGGTTTGTGGGTGGTTTTTTGTACTATATAACAAGCCATAACCACTTACTATTTCTATCACAAGGCAGCAGTTTCTAAAGCACTCCCTAACTACAGATTCTCTTTTCATATAAAGTGTACAGTACACAGGGAGATGACAGCAGGTAGTCTTCCCATACAAAGCTAGTGGAGAAGAAAACCCAAGCTCTACTCAGCCCCATTTTCTTATCTGGTGGTCACTGACTGAAGGTTCCTCGGACATCTAGGGATGGCCCAGGAGCAAAGAAGATTTCACACACAGTGGGGTCCACACACCACTGTCTAAAGTCAATGTGCATTGTATGCAATGTCCATTATCCTCAACCATAAATGAACTTGTTGACAATGAGCGTTCTTGATTCCTTTCTGAATAAATTAGGAGAAAGCCTTATGTCCTTACTTACTCCAAGCCAAGCTGAATCGCATACACTGTTAATGTATTAGGAAACTGCATTCTGCTGGGCCCACAATTTCTCTTTTAGAAGACGATGCATGCAGGCAAACCCTGCCCTCACCGCACAGTGTGAGGGAGCCATGGACAACTAACCTGGTACAGAGGAATCTCCAGCCACCACAAACCAGCCACTCTAGTCCTCTTTTTCTTCGGGTTATTCGGGCTCGTGGTAATGTGTGGTAATCACTTTCTTCATTTTCAAATCCTTCTTCAGACATCATCAGTGGCATTTCATCCAAATGGGCCGATTCATCTTCCAGCTGATATCTGCAACAGAACAAGGACAGATGCAGGACATCACTGTTTACCCAGAACATTCTGCGCTCTAACCAACACCAGGCAAATGCTTCCTCTCCACTCAGCCTGAGGCCTGTCTAAGCAACCGTCAGGTGGGGAAGACCAGTGTACCCAGGGACAATGATGCTGACACCTGTGCCAGCCTCACTGGGAAGGAGAAAAGCAGCTGCGGCAAGCCATGACTCCAGGCTCGCTCACAACCACAGTGGGGTTGTTGGGTACAGGCAGCCAAGCAGTACCTGCATCTCCTGCTTGGCTGTCAGAATGAGGCTCAGCTCCACTCACCCTGCTTCTGGGGTTTACCCCTCACAGACTATTCAATGAAAGAACCCACCACCAGCACACCTGGCCATCCCTGACAACCCTCCTCTGGTTCCAGAGACTGGCAGTCAGTTCACACCTCCATTCCGCAGTCACAAATACAACTTCTATTTAAAAATCCACAAACCTACCTCTCTGAGAAGGAGCCCTGGTGAGACAACTGATAAGTGCTCAGTAGCTAACCAAAAGGTCAGCAGTTCAAAACCACCAGTCACTCTGAGAACAAAAGACTCTGTGTTCTAGCCCCAACAGAGGAATAGAGATTCCGGCCCAAGAACCTTATGATGATGTTTTGCTGTCCTGTTTGCTCACTAGGAATGAGAACAAGTCAGGATAGCAAGGGCAGCAATGCACTGGAAAAATCTGCTGTCAGAGGCCTTTCCAAAGTGCTAAAGAGCAAAGATGTCAGATTAAAGACTGAGGGACACTGGATCCAAACCAGTCTTTTCATTTACATCCTATGCATCTGAAAGGTGGGCAACAAATAAGGAAGACTAGAGAAGAATCGATGCCAGTGAACTGCAATGTTGGCAAAAAATGCTGAGGATTCCATGGACTGCCAAAAGAACAAATCTGTTTGTTTTGGAGCAAGTGCAGTCAAGGTGCTTCTTAATAGGTTGTTGTTATGTTGCTATGTGCCATCGAGTCACTTGCAACTCATAGTGACCCTATGTACAACAGCCCTAAACTCTGCTCTGCCCTGTGCCAACTGCACTGTCTCTGACACTCCCATCCC